CACCACCACCACACCACACACACACACACACACACACACACACACACACACACACACACATGACATCCCCCCCCACCACACACACATAAACACACCTGAGCACAATGTAGTTCTTGTCTGCGAAGCGGTCCATGTAATCGACCTTGAGCACTTTGTTGCCGACAAAGTTGACCGAGGTCTGGTTCAGGATGCTGCGCTTCTTGCTCGGCGAATCAATAATCACAAACACCAAAAACACGTTCTGTTCTCGCAGCTGCTGAACAGCGCGCTCCACAAACGCCTCCCCTTCCTGGTACAGGTTGTCCGTGTCCGACACCACAAACAGGAGCTGCGACACCTTCAGATTCGGACTGCGCATCCGCTTCTCCGCCATGTCGCCCAGCACCGCAGACGCGTGCTTCAGCAGCTCGCCAATGCGCGTGCGCTCCTCATCAAACGAAAACCGGCGCAGGCACTCCGCACCGCTCGCCGCCGTGAAGGGGTCGCCCGCCTTGTGCACCACATCCACCTGCTGCCCAAACTTGAACACGCTCAGCTCGCCAGCTTCAAGCTTGTTCAGCGCCTGCGAGATGAGGCACAGCGACTCAAGCGCCATCTGCTTGGAGTGGTACAGCGACATGCTGCGGGAGTCGTCAATCGCAAGCACAATCTGGTACTCACGCTTGGACGGCTTGGTCCGCCGCAGCCAAATCTTGTCCTTGCGGAACTGCGACGCAATGTACGGGATGATCTTGCGCATGTTCAGCCGCTTGCCTGTGCGGTAGTCGCCCTTCATCTTCGACGCCTGCGACGCTTCAAGCACAAGGCGCAGCTGCTCGCACAGCGAGTGGGACAGCGACGATGTGAGGTGCTCAAGCTCCTGCCAAAGCTCAAAGCTCTTCGCAATCGCCGCCTCCGTCTCGCCGTGCTCGCTCTCGTCCGCCCGCAGCCCATCCAGCGCGTCCTCAAGCTTCTGCCGCAGCTCAGCTCGTTCCTCTGGCGTCATTTCTTCTTCTTCTTCCTCATCCTCCTCCTGCTCATCGTCACCGCGGGCCTTGTCGTCGTCCTGCGCATCTTCGTCCGCCTCCTCATCCTCCTTTGCACCGTCAGCGCTGCCATCCCCGGCGCCGCCTTCCTCGCCGTCCTGAGTGGCGTCCGCTTCCTCTTCCTCTTTCAACTTGTCCTCACCATCACCGTCCATGGCACTGGTGTCAGCGTGCTCTCCGCTGTCATCCTCTTTGTCTTCGGCGCTCTGCCCCTCCTCCTCTTTGTCAGGGGTCTCCTCATCCTCAGCTTGCTCTTGTTGCTGCTGCTGCTGCTGCTGCTGCTGCTGGGCCGTGTCCGGCTTGGGCAGTGGCTCATCCTCTGCCATGTCCATCGCCATCACGTCCTCGGCCTCCTGCTGCACGTCGTCCTGCGCAACCGTCTCTTCTTGCTGCTTCTGCTGCTCTTCAGTGGCAGAGCTTAGCACCTGCGCGTCAGAGGCCTCGTTGTCCCGCACAAACTGGAATGCGTCTGCGCTGGCCTCTTCCTCGTTGTGCTCGCCCTCGCGGTCTTGCTCCTCCGCGTTCACGTCAGCATCTTCCTCGTCTTGCTGCTCACTCGCTTCCTGCAGGTTCAGGCGGTCCTGCCACGACTTGAGCACGTCACCCAGGCTGCGGTACGGGTTGGTGTCCTGCAGCCGTTCAAACTGCTCCTCCTTGCGGTCTTGGCCACTCTCGCCCTCCTCCTGCTGCTGCGTGCGCTGCGTCTGATGCTGCTCGGGGTTGCGCCGCTGGGACCCCTGGCTGTGGCGGCCACCGGCAGTCTCCGTCTCCGCACTCTCCGCTTCTTGCTCCACCGTTTCCAGCCCCATCATACCCGTATCCTCCTGCGCGCACGAGCGAGTTGAGAGTATGCGTTTAGTGTGAGAAGGAATGTTTCAGCGAGTTGCGTTTGGAAGTGAGTGAGTGGTGGTTGGGAGTGAGTGAGTGGTGGTTGGGAGTGAGTGAGTGTTTGAGTGAGTGTGCATGTGGATGTGCATGTGAGCTTTTCAGTCAGTGTGCACGTGGGTGTGTGAAAACTGCACGCTCTTAAACGAATGCAAGTTTGGCAGATGACACACCGTGACAGTTGCGGAGACTTGGTTCAGCGCGCTGTCCTCAAAGGCGTCCGGGGTTTCTTTGTCTTGCTGCTGCTGCTGCTGCTGTTGTTGTTGCTGCTGCTCATCGTTCTCGTCTTCAGCAGGGGGTGGGGGTGGAGCATCCTCACCATCACCATCTTCACCACCACCGTCCTCCTGCTCTTCGTCGGTGTCCTCGTCCATTTGCATGTTCATTTCCTCATCTTCTTCCTTGGCGGCATCAAACCCTGCATCAGGTGCTTGCTGCTCGCCTTCCTGATCTTCTTCGCCACCTTCATTGTTCTCTTCCTCTTCATCAGCTTGCGCTTCATCTTGTTGCTTGTCTGCCGCGTCCTTTTCTTGCTGTTCCTCCTCTCCCTTCTCCTCCTCCTTCTCAGCCGCATCTTCACCTTCTTCTCCATCTTGCTTCTTGTCTTCTCCTTCTCCTTCTTCTCCTTCTTCTCCATCACCTTCACCCTCACCCTCATCCTCGCCTTCTTCCTCCTTGGCATCGGGAACTGTAGTCTCGTCCTCCTGCTGCAAGGGGTCGGCACGCTCCTGTTCCTCCCTGTTTTGGTCATCGATACCGTCGTCTTCCTCCTCGCCGCCCTTCTGTCCATCCTCGTCGTCTTTCTCGGGCTTCTTGCCTTCAGCGTCTTCGCCCGCATCATCATCGTCGTCGTCACTTCCCTCGTCCATGCCCTGGTTGTCTTTGCCATTGTCGAGGTTCAGGTCGTCTGGAAGGTCAAGGTCCATGTCCTTGTCCTCCTCACCGCCGTCTTCCTCGTCTTCGCCTTCGCCGTCGCCTTGCTTTTGCTCTTCCTCCTGCTCCTTCTTGGCGCGGTCTTGCTCTGCCGCATCCTCCACGTCTTCCTCCTGATCTCCAACATACTCGTCGTTGATCTCATCCCCGCGCTCTTCCTGGTTCTCCCCAGATTCACCTTCCTCGGACTGTTCCTTCTTGTCCTTCTTATCTTTCTTGTCATCGGCACCGCTTGGGTCGTTGTCCTGCTTGGCACCAAGCTCTGTCTCCCCAAGCTCCTCGCCGCCTTGTTCGTGCCCGTCGTTCGGCTCGTCCTTCTCGTCCTCATCCTCACCTGCATGTGCATGCACATGGAATTCGCGCAACACATTATGCGGTATCAGGGACATCAATCTGCGTGCACCAGCCTTACGAGCAACATGATGGCAGGAAAGCAATACAATTTCAAACACCGGCTACAATCAACTGCCCCCCCCCCCTTTTCGCTGTTCCATTGTGCTGTGAGAGCAGCTGTACGCACCTGCCCACATGCCGTGATCGAGCGTCTCGGCATCGGCGCCCTCAAGGTCGCCCATCTGTTGCTCAATGTCTGCATGGATGGAGTAGATTGCCACCGAACACAAGCAAACGGATGAGCAAGCGACGGACAATGAGTCTGATAAGAGCACACGTACACAAGCATCTTCACACGCACACACAAATACACGCAACACACACACACACACACACACACACACACACACACACACACACACCGTCGTCGTCGACTTCATCGTCGCTGTCTTCGTTGTCCTGTTGGTCGCGATCGTACATCTCTGCCTCAAAGTCGTTCTCCATCTCCAGACCATCCTCTTCTTCGTCAACGCCCTCTGTGAATCGTGCATGACATGATCAAACTCGTGCGTTAGGTTGGGAACAGACACGACGCAAGGGAACGACGACGCAGCAACGCCAACGAAACAAGAGCTCAAATATGCGCCCACCTACATGCACACACACACACACCTACGCAACACATTCTTCGAACCTTCTGGTGGCTGCTCAGGCTCATCGCTCTGGAGACCTTGGACTTGCTCTTCGTTCTCAATTTCGTTGCTGACATCCTTCTTGCCGGAGCCTTCGCCCATGCCTGCATTCAACATCCAAGGCACACAACAATATAGAGGATTGGTGAGCACTGCCACACTCCAAACGCTCACTACGATTCAACTTGAAAGCGTTGCAGACACCACACACACACATACACAACACATACACACGCAACAACACCACAACACACACAAACAACAACACCACAACACAACACAATGTAGACAAAGCGAACGCTAGAGGGGACACACCTGTGCCTTCGAGCTCCATGCCCTCGTGTCCGCCTTCGCCTTCGTCGTCCTCCAGCTCCGGTGGCACGCAGTAGCCGCGTGTGAAGAGGTCCTTAAAGATGCCAGACAGCACATAGCACAGCTTGCTCGTAGCCTTGTGCAGGGCGAGGTACTCGGCAACAACCGCCTCCGCAATGAGCTTGAACTGCGCAATGAGCGGCTGGTAATACTGGAGCCAACGCGACGCCGCAGCCACCGCCGTTTCGCCATACAGTCGCTGCTGCTGCGAAAGCACCTCCGCCACACGCACATAGCGGGACAGAATGCGATTCGTGCGCAAGCCGTCAAACAGGCCGCGAATCTCCCGCTCAAGGAGCACAAAGTGGCGCGGCTGCAGCTCAACATCGTCCTCGTCATCATCTTCATCATCTTCATCATTCTTCGTTTCCGTCTCCTGCTTGCCCTTGCTTGATGGCGCAGCAGTGGAAGACGAGGAGGAGGAGGAGGAGGAGGAAGAAGAAGAAGAAGAAGCCTGCTCTTGGAATGCGCTCTTCTCTGCCGCAGCACGCTTCACGGAGCGCTGGATGCTCAGCAGCATCGCCTTGACAAATTCGAGCACTGCCGTGGCCGATGCCTCCTCTGTCGCCGCATCTGTGGGCACGGCGGCGCTGGCGGCTGCAGAGGGCTTCCTGAGTAGGGCTGTAGCCAGCTGCTTTTCCAGTGAGTCAACAGAGTCCTGCACAAGGGCACTCGTGTCTTGCACAACGTCGCGCAGCATTGGGGAATCAGGCAGCTCAGCCAGAACAGTCAGGGATCGATGCGACGCTGCCAGGCACTGCGATGCACACAGCGTCACCAGGCCAAAGTCAATGAGGCCGGCACTGATGTCAGCGGCGCCCTGTTTCACGTCGTCTGTCATCTCATCCGCGGTGTCCTGCTGCTCCTCCATGTCCTTGGCGCTGTCGTCACCAACATCACGCGCTACGTGAAGCCGGCGGTTTACCAGCGTGTGTGCATTCACGTGTTCAAAGGCCTGCTGCAGACGCTCGTGCATGGCAGAAACGTCCTTCTCCAGGCCTGCCAGCACGCTTGCGTCCAAGCTCAGCGCCTCGGCATCCACAAGCATGCGAACGCGGGCAGCGAAGTCGCGGAGGGACATCCACGCCGTCTGCGCCACGAGCAGCATGTCTCGCGCGTCCTTTGGCGTTCCCAGCACCCGACGGGCCTCCTCCGGCTGCTTGGATGAAGCAACGGACGATGATGTCGACGATGATGATGATGACAACGATGAAGAAGCCGATGAAGGAACCGCTTGGGATTCTTGTTGTTGCTGCGTGTCCTGGTGCAGCTGGTCAGGCGAAGCGCCCGCGCAGGACGCCATCTGTCGAGCTGCGCAGTCGAGCGCGTTGAGCGAGCCAAGCATCTCGCTCACCGTGCGACGCTGCACCAGCAAGAAGCGGAACAGGTCCAGCGCAAACCCGCGGCACTTTGGCACCATCGACAGCTCAATGTCCTTGTGTGGTTTGTCCGAGGCCGTGTGCATGGCCTCGAGGCGGGCAAGCGTGCGGTAGAAGTACTCGCCACAGCGCTGCACAGATGTAACCAGCGGGCCGTGTTCTGCCTCCAGCTCCTGCACGTCCGTCCAGTTGGCCTTGGTGCGGCCGAGCGGATTCGTCTCCAGCCACGACGCAAGTGCCTGTGCACCACGCACGTTGCCCACACCGGCGGCAAGCCCCGTCTTGCCTAGCGTGCCCAGCAGATCTGAGAGCGCGCTCTGCTTCATGGTCTTGCCCAGCTTGCGCATGCGGGCCTTTGTCTTCTTGTCCAGCTCAAACTGCTCCTGGATCTCCTTCTCCTGCTCCTCCTCCTCCTTGTCGCCACCGTACTTGCCAACCTGGATGCGCCGCCGCTTCTTCTTCTCAACCTCGGCCTCCTTCTCGTGCTTCTTGCGCAGCGCCTCCATCTGCTCCTTCACAGTGTTGCGGTCCCACTCCTGCAGCGATTGCACGCGGCCGATCACCGTCTTGCACAGCCGGTCCACCGCGGCCACCGCTTGCAGCCGGCCTGGTCCCAGTAGCCGCTTCAGCGCCAACTGCGCCGCCCTCAGCGCTGGCTGCTCCATCTCCAGCACGCCTTGCACATCGGATGGAGGCGCGTGTGCCGCGTTGCTCGGCCACGCAGGGCGTGCCACCAGTGCTGTGGCATTGGAGGAGGCATCATCATCATCATCAGCAGCAGCAGCAGAAGAAGCGTCTGGCGACGTACCCATCGCCGGTGCGGCAGAGGATGCGCGAATGCGCTGGGCGTGTTCCGTAATGGCAGCCCGCGTTGCAGTGCACATGCGGCTGCTGGCCTCGGCAAGCGTCGTCATGGCATATGACGACTCCAGAAACTCAAGGCCGGTCTTGATGCCGCCGAGAACAGGCCCCACAGGCTCCATCAGAGCCTCCTTGTAGGCGCGGATGAACTTGTGCAGCGCGCGATGCGTCTTGGCGGCCGTGTCCTTCATGGCCGCGTAGTTGGTGTCCTTCCAGCGGATCAGCTTGATGAAGTTGCGCACTTCCTTCTCCAGCTCAATGCGCCGCGTGCGAATGGCTTCCTCCACAGAGGGCACAAACTGCGCAAAGTACTGGCTCAAGTTGAAGAGGACGCTGTGCAGCGCGCCGATAAACTCGACATACAGCACGCCCACGTGCTTGACGGTGTTGGACAGCACAGCAGCTGCCTCGCTGGCGGCCGTCGCCTGCTCCTCCGTCAGGTCGACCTGCCCGAGCCGCCTCGCCTCGTCCTCGTCCGTGTAGTACCGCTTCTCCTCCTGCGTCTTGTTCTTCTTCTCCGCCTTCTCGCGCTTGCGCTTGGCCTCCATGATGGCGGCGTACGGCCCCGCAGAGGCGCTGCCGTGCGCACATGCGGCCTCATACGTCACGCCATACTCTTCCTCCGCAGACACGCGCGCCGCCTGCAGCTGTCCGGCAAATGCCCACAGCAGATCAAGCCGCTGCATGTACTCGCCCAGGGTACAGCTGTCGGACATGAAGGCATGGAGCGTCTGGCGCACGCTCGCCACGTGCTCCGCGCACTCCTCTCGAACAGCACCCACCGTGCGGGCAGCCGTCGAAGCAAACGTGGCAGCGCCGCTGTCGCCTTCAGAGCCGCCGCCGCCGCCGCTGCTGTGCTTGCTGTCATCTGACTCAGTGTTGGCGCCGCGAACCAGTGTGTTGATGTCCTCGCCGGCACGCACGCGGTGGTGGGCGCGCACGCATGCCATGAGGCCTGCTGGCAAGCTGGACAGGGTGCCATACAGGCCAAACCAGCGGGAGGCGGCAATGTCGGCAAACTCCTGCCAGATGCCCGGAAGCAGGCGCGGCCAGTACCGCAGCTCGAGCTTGCGCCAGCGAATTACCAGCGCAGAGATCTCGTCCAGCTCGGCACGCAGCGAAACCTGCTTGCTGGCCACCTGCTCCCAGTCAACGGCGCGCCGCAGAATCAGGTCAAGCCCCGTCAGTACTTTCGGCAAGGGCACGGAGAGGGAGAACTCCAGGATGCGCAGGGAGAGTGCTTGCAGCTGCAGCAGCACGGCATGCTCCGGCCACTCCTCAAGCAGCGCCTGCAGCCGCGCCAGGAACTGCGCCAGCACGGGGCGCACCATGCGCGCCTCGCTCGGGTGCGGGTGGCGATAAAAGTCGTACGTGTCCGGCATGCTGTGGGTACCGCGAACGCTGTCGCCGAGCGGGTCCACGCTGGCCTCGTCCCCGGCGCCTGTGCCCGTGCCGAATCGAGACAGCTTGTGCGCCACTTGGATCGTGTGCAGCGGCCACAGCACAGCATCCGCATCGCCGGCAACGTGCTCGTTGTGAGCAGAGACAGCGACGGCAATGGCGTGCTGGGTCTGCAGCATTTCGAGCTGGTCGCTTGCGTCCACGTCAAGGGCGCGGACCCGCTCTGCCCGCCGCGCAGCCAGCTCCTGCTTCATGGTCTTGTCAGACTTGAGCCGCTGCGACTTGAGCAGGGACGTGCTCATATCCACGGTGATGTCGTACAGGTGGCCAAGGTGGAAGGCCTGCTTGTGCGCGTGCACCGCCTCTCGCATCAGCTCCACGTCCACAACGGCAAGAGAGTCCTTTGCAACGGCAGCCACGGCGTCTTTGTTCTCGCCGTCCCCATCACCGTCGCCATCCTCACCTTCAGCGTCAGCGTCAACGCCCGTGTCGCGCAGGCTCGCCTCGCGGCCGTCCAGCGCGTCCAAGGCGACGTCGTCGAGGTCTGCATACTCCTTGAAGTATGTGGGGAACATGCGCTGCAGCTCGCGCTCCGCCTGCTCTTCGCTCGACAGAATCTCGTGCGTCTTTGCGCGGTACTTGAACAGCTGCTCCTTCTCTGCCTGCTCCTCCTGTCGCCGCTTCATCGCCGCAGTCCACCGCGTACACACCACGTTGAGCACGCGCAGGAAGCCGTCCATCGAGCTGCTTGGGGCCGCCAGCGCCAGCGTGTCCGATGTGAGCGGGTGAACGCTGCGCGCGGCCGTGCCCCACGCGGTGGCCAGTGCGTTGCGGTGCAGCACAAGCGCCGCCCGCAGCAAGGTGCGCTCCATGCGCGCGCGGGGCTGTGGACGGGTGGCAGGCACGAGGCGCGACATGCTGGCCACGTCAAGCAGCGAGTACAGCGTCTCTGCGACGCGTGGGTGGGAGGGGAGGCGCGTCAAGTCGTGCAAGACGCCTGTCACGCGATGCACGGGCGCAATTTCCCCGGCAGCAGCAGCGCGGGCACACACCACGTCGTGGCGCAGCGCAGTCAGGCCATGCAGCACCATGTACAGTGCACAGCACACGGGCTGTACCACATCTGGGAAGCCGCTGTACTCCACGCGCAGGCGGCGTGCCAGCTGCGACAGCATCACCCGCCAGTGCTCCACCTCCTGCACGGCCTGCACCGATGCGGAGGCGGACGCGCCGCGCTTCTTGAAAGCTGCCGGCGATGTAGCCAGCTGGGCCAGCTTGGTGCAGAGCGCAAGCAGCTTGCCGCCGTGCTCGCTCGCCTCGTACAGTGCCGTGAGCTCGTCAAACAGGTTGGCAAATGGCTGCTGTGCGGGCCGGTACACCACCTGCTTCAGGCACTCACGCGCGGACGCGAGAACCCGTCGTGTCCAGTCAGAAGCCTCCTGGCACGCGGCAAAGACAGACGCGTCAGCGCCGTCCGTGAACGCACGCCCAAAGTCCGACTCTGTGGCGAGGCGCGCCTGCAGGAACTGGTGCATCCAGCTCAGGTCGGCGAGGCGCAGCACCTGCTTGGTCACCTTATCCACGGAAGAGCGCGGTTTGGCCAGCGCCAGGACGAGGCACCCCAGCTGCACCCACATGCGTGCGGTCTGCACGGACGCATGCACAGCTGCTGCTGCTGCTGCTGCTGCTGCTGCTGCTGCTGCTGAGTCTGCTGTTGCGCAATCGCTTTTTGAGGCAGAGGCCAGTGGCTGGCTGAGAGAAGCACTGAGGTCATCTGCGATTGGGGTGAGCTGGTGCAGATCCACGCCCGCGCCCTGCGTGGCCTCCCACAGCAAGAACCGGTATCCCTCGCACAGCTGCGCATCTGCGCGACGCCCCGCTGTGCTGGATGGGGGCACGTGCGTGGTGGTGAGGAATCGCTTCAGCTCCTGCAGCTGCCACAGCTTGTCCTCGGTGCCGTCCAGGGGAACGGCGCCCATGTTTTTCAGCCACATCATGTGGGCAGTGACACCGGCACGCATCAGGAGCGCGGCGCCGCGCGCCTCAACCCACTCCTGCTGTTGCTCTGCGCCAGCCTGCGCTTCATCCATCTCCTTCCTCTTCCTGGGCACATGCACGCTGCGGGGCCCGCGGACAGCCGTGCCGTCAACACTGGCTTCCTCCATGGCCGCAGCATCGGCCTCCTCTTCCGGCACAGGCACGGCGAGCGCAAACGGCGGGGGCGGTGCGTCGGGTCCAGGCATGTGCTGGGCCGTGTTGTGGCACAGGGCGTGAAGGGCCTCGCCAAGCGTGAACAGCAGGGATCCACGCAGCAAGCCGCGCAGCCGCTCTTGCTTTCCATCGTCACCGTCACCCTTGGCATCGCCGTTGGCATTGGTGCTGGTACCAGGATGGGCACTGTTCTCGCTCCCTCTGGCATGCTGGGAAGCGACGGTGCCAAGCAGCCACAGAAGCTGCTGGGTTTTGGCTGCGAGACTGATGCTGTGCGATGGCCCGCGTTGCTCTTCCAGCCGCGCAGCAAGGTGGTACATGGCAGTAATGACCTCAGGGTTGCCACTGCTGCCATCACTGCTTGTTGTTGCTTCCTCGCTGCTTGCGGCGTTTGTCAGTGCCCCAACGAGGGCTGGGTTTGCCTGAAGCGCTGTTGCAAGGTCGGCGAGCGCGCGGTGGGTGTCGTGTGCGTGAATCAAGTCGCCGACAGGCCACAGCTGCGCATCGAAGCAGCGGCGGTAAACGGTCGTCGCTGGCGGCTGCGCCTTGTCTGCGATCGCCTGGATCGCACCGGGCACTTCCTCAAGTGCGGAGAGCACCGAGGCCGACGTGGCATCCGCACGCGCGCCTGCGTGGCCCAGTGCAGCACCGCGTGCACTGGCATCATCAGCACCGGCATCGTCATTTGCCGAGGCGTCTTGCGTGAGTGCCTGCCGGAAGTGGCTGTCGAGTGTGCGGTAGATGGCGGGATCCTGCCGGTCCACGCTGGGCAGCGTCGCCAGCGCATCAATGAGCATCTTGCGCTCTTTTGCCGTGATGGCAAACGCGGCGTCCGTGTCCAGCAAGCTGTGGAGCGCAAAGGTGTGGTCTGTCGTGCGTGCAGCGACCGTATCAACCGCACTGCTCAAGCGCGCAGCCTGCTGCAGGGCTGCGTGCGTGTCAAAGCAGCGTTTGCTGTGGAATGGCTGGGACAAGAACAGGGTCGCAAACATGCTGTCGCCGTCCACCTCGGTGCTGAGCCCAAGGCTTGCGTGCATCTTCTCTGCAAGGGAAGCATACGCGCTCGCGTTTAGGGCTTCCGATGCAGGAGAGGTGTCGAGGCAGACGAGAGCACTGGCATCACGCAGGCTGTGGTGCAGATCGGCCCATGTGGACGCCACGACCTCCCGGCGAGAGCATCTCAGGAACAGGAGGTCATCCCCATCCTCAGCACCCACCTCCTGCTTCACCTGCACATTGGACTCCTCCTCGTCTGCACTGGTGTCGCATGCAATGTCCACGTCGCCTGCCTGGGTGACCGCCGCAAACAAGCGCGCACGCAGCAGCACAGCTTGCATCACGGCCCAAGTCAATTCAGCCGTGCTGATGCTCTTGGCGTCAGCAGTGTTTGAGGCAGCGACATCAGTGTGTGTGCTGTCGGCGACCTGGCCTTCGTGGTCCTTGGGAGTGTCGGCCATGAGGGCGCAGAGCACCTCGTGGAAGCGAGTGTCGACGGTGTCCAGCAGCTGCTGCAGGTAGGGCACACATGCGTGGCTGAGGCGGCTGCGGTTGAGGTTCTTGCTGGCGTACAAGCGGCACTGCAGCAGCCAAGGCAGCTGGGCCAGACGCAGGTCTCGCAAGGCAATACCGTTGGACATTTGCAGGAAGATGCGCTGGTTCGCTTGCAGCGCAGACAGCGACGATTGCACAGCCGCAGCGAACGCGGAGCGGGCCAGCGTTGTCTGAATGCCTTTTGCATCCGCCTGCGACAGTACATGTTGCAGGTATGACAGCCAAGCTGGCCGCACATCCACCAGGCCACCGTCTGTCGTGAACTGCTGCAGCGGCGTGTTCACCTCGGCGCTGACCGCATTTGCTTTCTGCAGCTCTTGCCGAAGAGCAACGAGGGCAGGGAGAATGACGTGCTCCTTGGCGTTGCTGGAGAATGGAAATTGTGCCAGGGCCGTCTCCAGAGCTTGCACATCGGCGTGCCCAATCCACGCCGCGAACGCGTTGAGCGCGGCAACCAGCGCTGGGTCTGCTGTTGCCGTGAGCAACGATGCCAGCGAGGACAGGCGCTTCGCAGACGTGGTTGACTTGCGCATGGCGGACGCATTCAACCACGAGTACTCGGCCACGTGTGATTGCGCATGCTGACTTCCTGCACCACTGCCAGCGGCAGCGGTTGCAAGCCAGCGCCTGGTGGCCGGCTGCTGGAAGAACGTGGCAACGACGCGCATGCACTGGAACAGCGCGGCATCGCGTACGGTGGCGCTGATCAGGGTGTAATCGGGGGATGCAAAGGGGGACGAGGCTTCCGTCGCTGCTGTTTTTGTTGCATCTGCTGAGGCGGGTTTGGCGAGATCGCCGCCAGCAAACAGGGCAACCGTGGATGGACTCACGTCGTCATATGTCTGTGCAATGGCAAGCTGTAAGCTCTCGTGCAGCGTGGCACCGTGGCGCAGCAAGGCAGCAGCAACGGTGGCGGCGTGCACGTAGTGGGTGACTGCGTAGGTCTTGTAGTGCCCTTTGCCACCAATGTGCTGTGCAAAAGCAGACAGACGGCGGATGCCTTGCTCGTGGTGCAAGCCCGCAGAGCGCGCCAGCTTCACGTAGTCATCGCTCGTGGCCAAGTCCAAGTGACAGCACACCTGAATGCCTCGGTTCCTGACAAGCACCAATTCAACAACGCGATGCAATGGGGGAGGGAGGTAAGCCAGAATACGGGTGAACATCAGTGGCAGAGCGTGTGAAGGGCTTGGCTTGTGTATGTGTGCGTGTGTGTGTACGCGTGTGTGCGTGTGTGTGTGTGTGCGTGCGTGCAGTGCGTGTGTGCGCGTGCGCGTGTGTGTGCATTTGGTGCACTGGTGAAGGCTGACAAACTTGCATGCGAACAAACCTCATGGCGGGAGAAAGCTGGCCGTGGCGCGGGTCCATGGTGAGAATGAGCCTGAAATTTGGATGCGGCTTGATGACGGGGATCTGGCCATCAATCACGCCGCGCTCGCTGACAATGAGCACGCCCTTGGGCTCCAGCAAACCGTTCAGGCGATCGAGCACGGACGGCGAGCAAAAGTTGACGTTATCAATCAGCAGCCAGTGCCCTTTCATCAATGCCTCCACCAGCAAGCCGTTGCGCCACGTGAACATGCCTATGCAGCAAGGGAAGAAAGGGAGGGGGAGGGGATATGTGTTGGGATACAATTGGGATGAATCAATGGGGGTTGCGCGAGAGGAAATGTCACAGCAAAGCCACGAAGACGCAGAGAACATATCACATACATGCACATGTACATGCGCAAGCAAATGCCGACGGCAGATCGTGCATGCAGGCAAATGTCAAGGTTGACACAAACACACACATACACACGCACATACAAACGTACACACACACACACGTGCACACACACACACACACGTGCACACACACACACGTGCACACACACACACACGCACCTTCTGTGCGATGAGAAACGAGGTCTTGAACGCGGTTGAGGCATTCAATGACGGTGGTGATGCTTTCGTCCAACAGCTCAAGCGCCGCGTCCACAACACCATCACCGGCTCTTGTGGACCCAGCCGTGGACCGCAGCGTGGCTGCTTCTTGCTGCACCACGTGGAGGAGGCTGCGAACTTGCTCCACATCCACGTTGGTGCCATGGGCCTGGCGCGCCTTCTGCCCAACAAATCCGTTGCGGGCAATCAGGCACCGCCATGAGGAATGCAGACGCGTGAGTGCCTGCACGAGCCGCTGCGTGTCGGCGTTGCCGTCAATTGTGGTGTACACCTGCACGACGGCGTCGCAGGCAGCGTGCAGCAGGTTGCGTGCGGAGAGCATGAGCTCGTTGCGGTGCTGCTCCATGTCCAGCTGCTCAAACCCGCCCAGAAGCTCGAGCGTATCGATGGAGGAGTTCATGGCAAACTCGCACAGCGTGTTGCCTGTCAGGCTGGCGAGCATGCGCACCATCTGCGTCTTGCCGCAGGCGGCTGGGCCGGAGAGATTCACCATCCACCCCATCTGCAGGCCAACGGCAAGCGCTTCCAGGCCCGCGTACTGCTGGGGAAGCAAGTCGAAGGTGTCCATGAGTTCGTCAGCGGCCACGGCGCCCGGCGGCAGCATCAGCGCCTGGCGACGGCGCGGAAGCTTTGCGCGGCCAACAACCACGCAGGCATCGTCAACCATCATCGTTCGTGGATACTCGAACAGCGTGCGGGAGGGAGAGGGCGATGTCCACAGGCTGTTGGCAGCAGTTTCCTCACCACCAGCAGCGCCATGTCGCTTCTGCTTGTGGCCTGTGTTGCCTTCTGGGGACGGCAGCAAAACAGGATCAAGCAGCTCTGTGCTGAGAACACAGAGGTGATCGCGCCACTTCTTCGACGCCGCTGCGGCAGCACCGCCCTGGCCAGTCATGATCCCGCTCTCCGGCAGCTGTCCACCGTAGATGACGGGCACAAACTGGCGCGGGTCGTAGCTGTCCTCGTGCTGCAGAGCTGTCATGGCCTCGCACCAGCGGAACACGTCACGCAGGTTCACGTCGGTGCCCTGGGCCTTGGCCAGGGCGCGCTGCTGCCGCCCGCGCACGCTGCTGTTGAAGGTGATCATGGCCTGCAGCACGGGCTCGGGGACGCGCGGGAACCGCGAGGACACAATCGACAGCATGTCCTCTGGGGACAGCACGTCAACATGCACCTGCGTGAAGCGGTTGAGGAAGGAAAGGGGCAGGCCCTTGCGGCCGCCGCCCTGGCGCACGGGGTTCTGGCAGGAAAACAGCTTGAAGTTTTGCGGGTCGCACTTGAACGTGCGGTTGAGCTCTGGAATGAACACCTCACCACGGTGATCCAGGCATGCGTTGAGGCCCTCCAGTACAGACTGCGAGGCCAGGTTGAGCTCGTCAAGTACAACCCAGTCGCCGCGGCGCAGCGCGCGCAGCAGCGGGCCATCGCGCCACGCAAACTCGCCCGCCTTTCCCTCTACGGGAAGATCAGCACCAAACAGGTCCGACACATCCGTCTGCTCAGAGAGGTTGATGCGCTCGACGTGGTGTCCCGTGGCGCGTGCAAGCGCAATCACAAGCGACGTCTTACCCACGCCAGGGGAGCCTTCCAGCAGGATGGCCTTGCCAGCTTGCATGGCGCGCAGCACGCGGAACATGTTCTGTGCGGTGGTGGGTGCGTTGAGTGTGAAGCTGGTTTCCTCAACCTTGTTGGAGCCGCACTTGATGAAGAACGGCTCCATGCCGAACCAGCCCTGCCTTGACAGGGAGCTGGCGTCGTGGTCATCGGCATGAGGACTTTCGTTCGTGTCACCTTCACCAGTTGTCTTGTCACTATCACCATCATCACCGTCATCAACATGATCGTGATCACTCGCAGCAGTGTCTCCAGCAGCAGCAGCAGCAGCAGCAGTAGTGTCAGCGGTGTTGGCAGTCTGCCGTGAGGAGAGCTTTGGAACGAATGTGCCATCGTCAACGCCCTGGCTACGCACAGCCTCCCGTTCCTCTGGCGACAGATACGAGAGGAGTTGCTCCACGCAGCGCTTCCGGGCGCCCACGGGGTTTCCAAACCCACCAGCAGAGATGCCAAGCCCGTCAATGTACACGAGGCAGCCGCCGTGCACAAACGCAGCGGCCGGCGACATGGTTTCGCTGCACGCACGCACAAAGCGCGCCCACGCCAAGTGGTCACGAAGCGAGATGGCGGCGGCAAACCGTTCGTGCTGCTTGAGCCACGTGGGGAACTGGATGATGGGCAGCGTAAACCGCTGCAGCTCCGGTGCACGCAGCGCATGCGACACAATTGCTTGCAGATCGTGCTCGTCCGTGACGGCGGCGACCCAAATCTCCGTGAAGCGGTTGCGAAGTGCGGGTGACAGCTCCTTCTTTCCAAAGTCACCGCCAGGGTTCATGGTGGCCATGATGTGGAACTCGTTGTGCGCGCGGATGTGTTCGGGGTGCACGCCGCCCTTCTCGGCGAGAAGCAGCTCGCGGCTCGGCTCCAGCACACTGTTCAGGCGCTCGAGCACGGAGTCGTCAGCAAGCGAGATCTCATCGATCAACAGCCCGTGACCCGCCTTCATGGCCTGCACCAGCGGGCCATCGCACCACTCAAACAACTTGACCTTCTCTGGCTGCTGCTGTTGCTGTTGTTGCTTGTGCTTCTTTGTCTTCTTCTGAGGTGAAGGAGCAGCAGAGGAGGGGTTCTGCTGGTCCGCTGCTGTTTCGTTCGTCTCAGCGTCAGCATCATTGTGCTGCTCCTGCTGCTTGGCTCGCTTTCCCTTCTTCCTCGAGCGGCGCTTCTTCTTGCTGCTGGCTTGGGCAGATGCCTCCCCTGCTTGTTCGGGGGTTGTGCTGGGCTTGTCTTCTTGCTGCACGGTTGTCGCTGGTGCTGTCTCGTCCGTGGCTACCGCATCAGATTCAGCGACACCAGCCTTGCGCTTGCCACCTTTGTTCATCTTCTTGTTCTTCTTCATCATCACCATCACCTCGTCTTTGTCCGTGGCTGTGGACACCTGCTGTTGTTGCTCCTGTTGTTGTTGTTGTTGTTGTTGTTGTTGTTGTTGTTGTTGTTGTTGTTGTTGTTGTTGTTGTAGTTGTAGTTGTTGTTGTTGTTGCTCCTGTTGTTGTTGTCGTTGTAGTTGTTGTTGTTGTTGTTGTTGTTGTTGTTGTTGTTGTTGTTGTTGTTGTTGTTGTTGTTGTTGTTGTTGTTGTTGTTGTTGTTGTTGTTGTTGTTGTTGCTGCTGTTGCTCCTGCTTCTCCTCCTGCTGTTCCTTATCCTCCTGCTGCTGTTGCGGCTGTTGCGTGGAGGCTGTGGATGCTTGCTCTGAGGCCTGAGCAGCGTTGGTCTGGGCATCTGACTGGGTTTCCTCGGAAGAGGCCTTGCGTGCGGGCCGCAGACCACCGAGAAAGTCGGATGTCTCTGTGTTCTGATGGCAGTTGATGATGTGCAGCGGCTGGCCGAGCAGAGTGGTGAGGATCTGGCACACCGTCGTTTTGCCGCAGCCGGTGTCGCCCACCAGCAGCACAGGCTCGTTGACTTGCAGGCAGCGCTCCACGAGGCAGAAGAGGCGCTTCATGCCACGCGTCCACACCACGTCGCGGAACATGTGCAGCGGGTGGGCCGGGTCATCGCGCGCCTCAGCCAGTGCAGCCTGTGCGCGGGCAAACAGTGGGCTGTGCGTGCACTCGTACAGAGCGCTCACGTCCACGGTTCGCTTGAGAACACCCTCGATGCACTCGCGCACGACTTGCTTCTCGTCGTCCCGACGTACGCGCTCTGCCAGCAGCATGTAGCCATCGTTGGCCAGCACCTGCAAGTCGTCGTAAAAGTCGCGTGTGACCTTGTCGTCAGCACCGGCTGCCTTGGCGCCCGCAGCGGTGGGCGTTGACAGCTTGGCGCGCTTCAGGTCCGGGTTGGCGGGTGCATCCATGCGCCGTGCACTCTCCAGCTGCTGCGCGTTGCCAGAGTCAGGCCGCGTGCGCTGGTAGCGCTCTGCCCATCGGAAGAGGTCGCGCAGGGTGATGAAGCCGTCCTTGCCTGCAAACAGGTTTGTGGCCTGCCTGCGCTTCTGGAGCTGGTGCATGATCTTCACCAGTAGCTTGGCGCGGCTGCTTGGGATGTGCGAGCGCTTGCTGAGAATCTCCTCCAGCTCCTTGTGCGGGATTTCACTAAAGTGGATCTCAACAAAGCGGTTGCGGAACGCGCGCGAGAGCGCCTTGCGTCCGCCGTACATACCCGGTGGGTTCTGCGTCGCAAACAGCATGAAGTTTGGGTGCGCGCGCACCGTCTCCTGCGTTTCCGGGATGTACAGCTCGCGGTTGTCGTCGAGCAGGCGGTTCAATGCCTCCAGCACGTCCGTGGGCGCCAGGTTGAGCTCGTCAAGGACAATCCAGTGGCCCTGTCGCACGGCCTGCACCAGCACGCCCGGCTGGAAGGCAAGCTTCCCGTGCTCGTCTGCAATGTACGAGCCCAGGTACTCTTGGATATCGGTGTGCTCGTGGTTGTTGATGCGCACGAGCTTGTGGCCGGTCAGCTGCGCCAGGTAGCTGACCATGCTGGTCTTGCCGCTGCTTGTTGGGCCCTGCAGCAGGATGGGGAACTTGCCCGAGGCAACGACGCGCACGACGTCGCGCAGCTGCTGCTCGATGGTTGGCGTGACAATGTAGTTGGCTGGCTGGGTTGGCTCCTGGTCGCCGGTTGGCAGCCAGTACGACCCGTACGAGACGTGGCTGGCGTGCTTTGGGCGCGGGGGAAGCTGCTCCAGTTGCATGGCCAAGCGCTTCACCTGCTTGTCTCCGCGGTCGCTCTTGAGGAGGGTGGAGTCAATGAGGTGCTTCATCGAGTTGTACGAGCGCCGGTTCAGCTGCGCCAGGAAACTCATGCACACGCCCTCGTACACAGCGCGGTGCAGCGGGTACACAGGCGCCAGCGCTCTGGCGTGGATCAGGGCGCGGCACAGCGTACGCAGGCTAAAGTGGGGTCGCATGTTGGACCCGTCACGGAGGTCTGTCTTGGCAAGCTCGCACGCCCTGCGGTACACGCGCACAATCTTGGCAAACAAGGACTGGTCGTCAATGGAGAGCGCAGCAAGATACGCCTCCACAATTGCCGTCAAGTCCTCTTCATCATTGCTCTCGTCCACAAAAATCTCCGTGAACCTGTGGAGGGGTGGTTGGTATGAGGACGGGGGGAGTTATGAGGTCAAGTGTGTGTGTGTGTGTGTGTGTGTGTGTGTGTGTGTGTGTGTGTGTGTGTGTGTGTGTGTGCGTGTGTGTGTGGGCGGGTTGCGCGGATGTATGTGTGTGTGTGTGTGTGTGTGTGTGTCCAAACACATGTTTGGTGTGCAGTTGACGCACCTGTTTCGTAGGCCAGTGGAGAGATCGCGCTTGCCGACGTCTGTTGCCGGGTTCATGCAAGCAAACAGGCGGAACTCTGGATGGCGCTCCACGGGTTTCAGATCACCACGCTCTGTCAGCACAAGGGATCCAGCCTGGAACACACACACACACACAGACACACACACAGACACACACACAGACACACACAGACACACACACACACGTACACGGGCGAGGCGAAGGGTCGAAGGTGGAGAGAAAGAGGGATGGAGGGTGACGCACATGGATTCAGTGAGCATGAAGCTGCGCAGAAATCAACCGGACACATACCCAGTCCGACACAACTGTTGAGGAAACACGCACATGGATGCACACACACACACATATATCCACACACATACACACACATACACAGACGCCCGAACGGAAGAAAACACACACACACACACACACTTCTCTTTTCGCACTACATACGCTGTTCTCGAGGAGGCTGTTCAAGCACTCGAGGGTTTCTGGCGAGGCGAGGTTGACCTCATCCAGCAGCAGCCAATCGCCGCGCTGCAGGGCCTTGACCAGCGTGCCTGGTGCGGCACGCACACACAATCAGAAGATGGAGAGGAAGAGTCGGTGAGGAATTGTTGCACATGGTGAGGAACAACAATTCATGCTCAGGCAGCACACGCGGATACAAGCACGCACAACCCACGCACACACACACACCCACACAAAGCCACGCACACACAACACACACACACAACACACACACACACACAAAGCCACGCACACACACACACACACACCCACACACCCACACAAAACCATGCGTGCGCACCTTCGACAAAGGAAAAGGCAAAGCTGTTCTCGGCCTGTTCAACTTGGATGCAGAGGTGTTCCAAAGCAGCATCAAACTCCTCCCATTGCGACATGAGCGCTGGCTTCATGAGGTTTCGTGCAGACGCATCATCGGTGGCGGGGCCTTCCTCACGCGCAGTGTCCATGCGCTTGCGCACGTTCACCATAGCGGATTGCATGCCTTTGAGCAGTGCACGCCACTTCTTGCGCGCGAAACTTCGCTCAAGCTGTGCCATAAACTCTGCGTTTCGCTTGCGAGAAAAGGTCTGGAAGAAGAGCTGGCGGAACGTGTCCAGTGCCGGCTGAATCAGCACACGCACATCCACGGGCTTGTACCCACCTGTGCAAGTGTTGGTTGCGGCGGAGGAGGAAGGAAAGGGAAAGAAAGGGTTGAGAATACATACTCACACATGAAGGCCATGCTGTTGTGCGTATGCGCATACAAACGCGCACAAATTCCATGGTAGCATGCGTTGCACGCACCACACGAATACTCACACACATACATACACGCACAAACACACAGCAATGCTCACACACGCATGAATACGCGCACACACCAAAAGCAAGTTCGTACCCAGCAGGTCGACGACATCGCTCTGTTGAGACATATTGATGACGACGAGGCGCTTGCAGAGGCTGCGGGCCAGCTTCTGCACAGCCGTTGTCTTGCCCGTACCCGTCTCGCCAACAAGGAGCACGGGCTCGTTGAGCTTGATGCACACCGCCAAGCGTTCCATCAGGTGCAGCGCAGGCTTGGTGAACGCGTACGAGTACGTGTGTCCCGTGGGAACGAGGGCAGCGCCAGTGCTCTGCGTATCGTATTTGTCAATACTGCAGCGGCCGATGGAGAGCGAGGTCTCGACCTCGGCAATGCCCGGGCGGTACGACGAGAGAAACTGCTCAACCTCCACCTTGGCCACGTCCAGGCTTTGCCCCAGCGCGTAGATGAGGCTGCTGCGCCCGCCCTGCTCCGGCAGCATGGCGCAGAAGCAGTCCACGGCCTCCAGGAACACGACTTCGCGGGTGAGCGGGTCATGCTGGCTGATGCGCGTGCACCACTTGATCATGTCACGTGGCGTCACGGCCTTCTTGCTGGCACGCGACAGCGACACCGCAGCATTCGCCCCAAGCGCGTGCTCGGGCACCTGTGATGATGACGCAGATGATGGGCCTGTCGTAATGTTGGTGGAAGCATCAGCAAAGCTGAGGTGGTGTTGGCGGCGGCGGCGCCCTGCCCTGCGTGAGCCACCCATGAGCGACTGCAGCCGCTGGTAGGTGGACAGCATGACATCAAGCACGCCCACGAGCGAGGGGAAGCGCGTGCGGATGATAGTGCGCAGTTCCGCTGGCGACGGCTCCTCCACGCGCACCTGCGTCATGTGCGCGGCGATGATGCCCCAGTTGGCGCCGGTGCCTGCTGCGCTGCCGCCAGATGTGTTCCTGTATGTGCAGAAGAGCTGGAAGCCGCTGCGGGCGGGGATGGTCTCGGCACGGCCGGGCACAAAGAGGGTGTTGTTCTCCACGAGTGGCAGCAGCGTGGAGATGACGTCCAGTGGCGCCTGGTCAATGTCCTCAATCAGCAGCCACAGGCCCTGCCGCACCGCCTGCGTCAGAATGCCTTCTTGGTAGCGGAACTGCCCCGGGATATCCGTGCACACATATGTGCCGAGGAGTACCTTGCTGTCTGTGTCGTCGCCCATCTGGATCTTGATGAGCCGCGAGCCCGCCGCCACCCGCCCTGTTAGCCGCGCCAAGTGCTCAACAAGCAGTGTCTTGCCTGCGCCCGTGCTCCCCGTTAGCAGCACGGGCATGTGCAGGGTGAGGGCAACGGCAATGGAGCGCAGGTTGCGCAGCGCTGACGCTGTCGGCACAAACATGTCCGAAGCAGTAGCGGCAGCAGCGGTAGAGATTTCTTCGTCCGATGACGATGATTGTGATGATGCGAAGCGGTGACCTGAAGGACGGGCACGAAGCGAATTGTTGGTGGTTGTGGTTTGTGTGCGGGTACGTATGTCAGCGTGAGTGAGAAAGAGGTAGTTGTGTGTGTGTGTGTGTGTGTGTGTGTGTTGTGTGTGTGTGTGTGTGTGTGTGTGTGTGTGTGTGTGCAACAAAGGAAGATTAGGCAGATAGATTTATGAGACGTGAAATTAAAACAGGCTAGAATCACAGCTCACAAAGCGTACGGAAGGGAGGGTGTCTTCAGTGAATTTTATGGACCGATGATACTTGGGTGATAATATTTAGCGGTTATGTTGTACGGTACCAAGAAGATCACGGTCCAAATTGGTTACGTGTGTGTGTGTGTGTGTGTGTGGGTACGTATGTCAGCGTGAGTGAGAAAGAGGTGGTTGTGTGTGTGTGTGTGTGTGTGCTTACTGAAGGGAGGGTGGTGATGGGTCACGACAACAACAAGCACGAACAAGCAACAAGCACCGCACCCTTTTCGAAGAGGATGCCGCTGATGTTGACGACATCTGAGCTCAAGTCCGCATCTGTTGCCTGCATACGCTCCTGCCGAAACAAAGAAGACAGACCGGCAGAGCAGGGCGGAAACGGACGGATAAGAGCAGTCGAAAAGCAAAAGCGTGAGTGCGCACGCACGTTACGCGATGCTCAGCTGAATGGCTCACTCAAAGAACACAACAGGCACGCGAGTCGCAGCACAAGCGCGTACGTTGATGGGATCCTCTGTTTTAGCAGAGGCGGCTGGGCGAATGGCCGGCGCGGCGCTGGCGATGGTGTGCTGCTCTGCTGCCTCTGCCCGCTGCCACTCCAGCTCAACGTGACTGCTGTGCACCTGCGCACCAAGCCGCCTGCATGGTGTGCGTTTGTGGACGTGCGGTGTTGAGTGTGTGGGCATGTGTGTGCATCGTTGTGAGCTGCTGCTGATCTTGTGGAGACGGGAGGAAAGGCGGGTAATGCTCATGCACATTCATGTGTGTGAATCCCTGCGTTGGATGTCTGCGCTGGCACAATACCTTTCAAGAGCGAGAATGGTTGCGCCCGGCAAGTGGTGCACGAGTCCAAGAATCGCAGTGACATGCCTGGAGGCACCCGGAGGGACAGCACATCGACAGCACACATGCACAGACACAGCGAATTGTCATGAGGAAGGCAAGTCCATCATCATTGCAGCAGACGATATCACACTCGAACATGCAGGTGTAAAATGTCACGACGCAAGGTGTAAACGAGGCAGACACATAGCAAGCACGTAGCACAGGGAAACACACAAAAGCAAACAAAACTTACACAGCGAGGTTCTTGTTTGTGTGTTGGAGGAGGGGGAGGAGAGGGGTACAGTCCCACATATCCGCCAGTGCGCGGCGGTTGTGAAGGAGCAGGAGATGTGTTGCGCACGTCATCGTCTGTGGATGGAGAAATGTGCGCAGTCACAGGCTGTGTGAGGCGAGAACGCTGATTGAACAAACACGCTGTCTCAGCAACGTGTTGTTGGATGTTGATGAACAACAAAGTTGCACCACATGCACAGCCTAGCCTCATTTGTGTGTGCATGGCTGGTGAGCTCGCACCCGAGCACTGTGTTACCTCAAGCTGCGCTTCCGTGACAGTGTTGATGGGCTGGCGGCGCAAGCGCTCAAATGGCGGCGCCTGAACGGCGGCAAAGTACTCCACAGTCACGCTGATGTGGTAGCAATTAAAGCAGTAATAAGTGACGATGCAGGATGAGTGAGCACCAACGGCGTGCAAGCAGGGGCACACATTGGGGGGGGGGAGCATTGCGATCGTGCAAAACACACACACACGCGCACACGGAAGAGTACGCATACAGAAGCGTACGCATAGAGAAGCGTTCGCATCCACCCACATACACGCGCACAAGCGTACAAACACGCACGCACACAAGCGCAGGCATACATACAAACAAAGACATTCAGCGGCCGTTGCGTTTGGATACGTACCTTCGAAGGTACGGTGCTGTTGGGATGAGGTGTGCCAGTGCGAAGGAGAGGCACTCGTGGGATTCAAGCCATTCTGGTTGCCCTTGTGTTTCCTGAATGCGGCGCGTGCACCTAAAGACGTACAGCGAACCAAAGAGCGTCAGCGGAAAACAGCGAAAAAAACAAAACAAGAGCAACACAAAGCACGGGCGCATCGTGCCAGGTATCAATTCGCCTGCACTCTGAGCGAGATCACGTGAAGAAGAGATGTTCCGGGGCCATAGCGCCTCACCTGCAGACGAGATCGAGGAGCACTGGCCTGAAGTACCGCGCGACAGTGCGAAACGCATCTGGGTGTAGCAGCAGCTGTGCTGCTTTGTGGAGCGCTTCTGCACGGAAGTCATCCGCTGCCGCAGTGCCAGCATGCACCTGCAGCATCGATGAAGGTGGTGAAGAACGGGGGAAGGGAACAGAATGGATCGTGAGTGTTGAATGCAGAGAGAGGGATGCCGTGCGTATCACAAGCACGCCATCCTGCAGCGCACAAGACTGCGAGGAAAAAATGCACGCACGTACATCCACGGCGGTGTACACAGGAATGCACCTGACGGCAATGCACACGAGACGCGCGCGCACACACACACACACACACACAGACAAACAGACAGACAGACAGATAGACAGACACACACACACACACACACACACACATTCGCACATTCTCACATTCGCACACACACACACACACACACAACTACACACATACAAACGCCGCGCACACCTTTTGAAGCTGTGTGTAGAGTGGAGCGAGGTGGTCATCGCAGATCTGAGAGACGCCCTGCATGGTCTCAAGAGCTTTGGCCACATCGAGCAGGCCCCAGGTATGTTCATGGTCCTCATTCTGCTGCTGGTCGGCGGCAGCAGCCACTTGCTCTTCCTTTGTTGCCATGCTGTTGCCACTTACTTGCTGCCGTGTGATCTGTGCTAAGCTGCTGGGCTGGCCCCACTTGACACTCACACACAGCACCAAGCACACAAAAAAGTCAAGCACGAGAGGGATGTGTGTGATGTGTGACCGCGACAACAGCACCACGTGTGTGCTCGAGGTTGCTGAAAATAGGCGAATATTTTCCAACAATCGTCCAAACTTGCGGTGGCCAAGATGGGCAGGTGCGTTGTTGCGCGCAATCGCGATCGGGCTTGCCTGCTTGGAGCGTGCGACTCGCACAGATGCAAGCACAGATGCAAGCACAGATGCACATGTGCTCACGCTCACACTCACACACTCACACGCTCGCACACTCAAGCTCACTCACTCACACACACACACTCACACTCACACACACACACACTCACACTCAAACTTACTCCCACGCTCACCCACACTCACCCACGCTCACTCACGCACATAGGGTCGGCAAGGTGAAGATCCGCAAGCAGGAGCTGGATGCAACACCATGGGAGGTTATGAGGGCCGATGTGTTGCGGAGCCAGGCGAAGGCCCAACGCGAGAAGAAGCAACACCAGGACCAGCAACAGCAAGAAGAAGAGAAAGACGTGTCCAAGCGAGGCCATGGGAGCTCGAGCAGTAGCAAGAAAAAGAGCCGGTGGGAGGTGGAGGAGCGCAAGCGCAGGGCTGCGCACATCCGAGAAACCTTGCTTGAGAAGCATGCCGCCCCATCCAAGAAGAGCAAGCACAAAGTGAAAGGCACACAGTTGATCATCGCGGACGACGAGGAGCCCGATCCAGGCCGCATGAAAGGTTTGCATTCTGCGTGTGTGCGTGTGTGTGTTGCGATTGCTCGTCGTGTGTATGTGCTGCGATAGCTGTGAATGCGCTGCGACTCCCCCTCTTGTTGTCTTTACAAGTGCCATCTCCACCCCTTATCTCTCTCTCTCTGTGTGTGTCTCAATGGTGACCAATGCTTCCCTGTGGTTCCCACTTGCACACGCGCAGATAACCTTCAGATGGGCCGCGCACGCTACGAGATCAGCTTGGACCAGGGCAGTGCCGATGCCGACGACGCGCTGGTTGTTCGGGAGAACACGGTGCAGGGTCTCCCCATCTCGCACTTTGTCTCCGAGGAGGAGCTGGCAGCCAAGCGTCGCGCCGCAAAGAACACGAACAAGGGCGCGCGCAAAGTGGTTCGGTTCTGAAGCGGCGGTAGAGGAGAAAGAGGAAGAAGCATGACAATTGGTTGTGTGGGGGTTGCGTGGAGTGAGGTTGAGTGTGGGGTGGAAGGTGAAGGGTGGAGTATCGGGTGGAATAGATGCGTCAGTGTTTACACTTGCGGGTGAGCGTCCACTTGCTGCGATGATAAGTGTCGTTGGGTTTTGCCGGCGGGCATTGTGCTTGCGCGTGTGCTTGTTGGTGGTGGTGGTAAGGGAAAGGATGCTCTAAAGGATGCGCTGTTGCTATGTTTGCTCCTGCCTGCTCTTGCGTTGATTCTTTGTGCGTCTCGTTCTTGTGTTGTGACGTGTGAGCACATGCGCCTCGCTTGCTGCTCTGTTGTGATTTCCCATGTACAAACCAAAGCCATGTGCGTTCAATACACGTCTCATTCATGTCATCGAAGAAGCGCACAGTGCATGCGCGCTGCGTCGTGCAAACGTTTGTGGATGTACTCTGTTGAGTCGATCTTCTTCGGTCAGACCGAAAGCGCACGTCTTTTATTAATCAATAGTCCCATACATCAGCGTAGCAACACCACCCATCTCCACTGCCAACAACCCTGACACCGTCAGCCCATCAATGTGCAGATCACGCTCCACAAGCGTTTGCAAACTGCATTTGGCATCGCCCAAGCCACCATCATCAACCACAACAAGCAACACCCGACTCAAAGCGCAGCCGGCTTGGTTGATTAGACCACGCACACAACAGCAATACACGCACGCACGCCCGTCAGCGCGAGCATGCCATCCAAGCACAACAGAGCAGGGAGCATCAGAACAAGCACAACAGAACAGGGCGTATCAGAGCGGTAACCTAACAGCCTATGGCCAGGGTGTCAGTCGGCGCCTGTAACCGGGGGTGCGCTGCTGTTTCCGCCGCGTCGTGGCCGTTTGCTCGCCCGATCCTCAAGCGCAGCAGAAACTGCACGCGGTGTGCGAGTCAGTGAGTCAGTGTGTGTGTGTGTGTGTGTGTGTGTGTGTGTGCATGCGAGTGTGTGTGTGTGTGTGAGTGAGTATGTGAGGGTGTGTATGTGCGTGAGTATGTGAGTGAGTATGTGAGTGAGTGTGTGTATGTGCGTGTGTGAGCATGTGTGTATGTGTGTGAGTGAGCACGTGAGTGAGTGAGTGTGTGTGTGTGTGTGAGGATGTGAGTCAGTGGGTGTGCCTCATGATGAACAGCGCCTGCACTTAGCAACAGCTCATACGAGAATACACTCATACACACACGCACACACCTTTGGTGGTTGGCTTTCGTCTTCGCTCCGAGTTTTCAGATGCGCGGGGTTTGGGTGCACTTGGTGCTGGCGGCTGGTGGTTCTGCATACACGAGTGCACAGGATACAAAGAAGGGAAGGCGTGGAGATGAGACAAGGACGCCACTGGTGATGTGGCGACTCAGTCAAACGCTCAACCACATATCACACACATGCACACACACATATGCACACACACACACATTTGCATAAACCCACACAAATCACGCACACGCACACATGCACAGATCTCAGCAAGCGAACTTACATTTCGGGAGCGAGTGCCTCCTCCTCGTCTGCTCTCACGGCCACCAACGCCCATGCACAGCTCCAGATGTTGCGCCAGCTTTGTGGCTTGCTTTGGCATGTGGCAGTTGGGGCACGTCACAACGGGGCTTGCTTGCGGCTGAAAGGCAAGGACAACGGAGCAGTGGCATTCTGGTGTGAATGCGGAAGATGGTGCTTTGATCTCAAGTTCACGCACGCACGCGTGCACAGTGGCAGCACAGCAGCAACAAGTCGATGTGCCGTCTTCGACACATGTGAGCTTGTGTACAGGCATGGTAATGCGTGTGTGTGTGTGTGTGTGTGTGTGCGTGCGTGCGTGCGTGCTCTGTGTGTGTGTGTGTGTGTGTGTGTGTGTGTGTGTGTGTGTGTGTGTGTGTGTGTGTGTGTGTGTGTGTGTGTGTGTGTGCGTGTGTGCGTGGACCTTCTGGCCGAAGATGTCCAGTCCCGGCGCGTTCACAAGGCCGTGGTGTCTGTTGAGCCAGTGGCGATGAGGCGACAATACAGAAGCAGAAAGTCAAGGGCATCCATGAGTGTTTGTGAAGGAGATGGGAGGGGGCAGAGGGCAAACTGGGCTCCACACACACACACACACACACACACACACACACACACACACACACACACACACACACACACACACACACACACACGCTCTCACTCTCTCTCACTCACAACAGACACACAACAGACACACAACAGAGTGATCAGTACGTGTGATTGGGCGCGTTTGCGGTGGCTGGGGTGCAGGAGCAGCTCAGATCGAGCTTGGCCTCGCGATGCACCTCGAACACAACCTCCCAGATGAAGAAGTCCAGCATGGAATCTGCCACAGCAGCCACTGCAGCCGCTGTTGGTGTCTCTTGTGTCATGACCCTCCTTCTTCCCGCCTCCGCCTCCTCCTCCTCCTCTTCTTCTTCTTGCTCACACGACAGCGTGTCGACTGGCCTTGAGTCTACCTGGATGCGCGTGTGTGAGTGTGGGTGTGTGCGTGTGTGTGTGTGTGTGTGTGTGTGTGTGTGTGTGTGTGTGTGTGTGTGTGTGTGTGTGTGTGTGTGTGTGTGTGTGTGTGTGTGTGTGTGTGTGTGTGTGTGTGTGTGTGTGTGCGTGTGCGTGCGCGAACACCAATCGTCGTGAGAGTTGGTGGCGAACAAACTCCCAAACGGTCATCAAAATCAACGAGACAAGCCACACACACAAACCACGTGCACGTCAGTGTGGTGCAAAGCACGCCGGCGTGATGGAGGTGAAGGTTGTGCCGTGGCGCTTCAAGCAGGAATGGGTGCAGGTCAGTGCCGTGCTCATATGTGCATGTGTGCGTGTGTGTGTGTGTGTGTGTGTGTGTGTGTGTGTGTGTGTGTGTGTGTGTGTGTGTGTGTGTGTGTGTGTGTGTGTGTGTGTGTGTGTGTGTGTGTGTGTGTGTGTGTGTGTGTGTGTGTGGCACGTATTAGGTAAGGAATCACTGAGGTGTGACGAATGCGTGTGCATGTCGATGTTGGCAGGTCAAGGCGCAGTTGAACTCTGGTGATCATGGTGCTGTGGCCCTCGCGCGGGACCGCATGCGCTGCTGGGCCACCCGTGGCAAGCTGCCCCTCGCAATCGAGGTGTATATGTGTGTGTATGTGTGTGAATGTGTGTCTACCTTCACTCGTCTGCCTCTCTGCGCACGCGTCTCTCTGCATGTCTGTGTAACGCCAGATTTGCATATCACTGTGTCACGTGCACTAGGCAACGATGAACCTGGTGAGCGCGCTGCTGTTCCGCGACACCAGCCCCGATCGCCAGCTGCTCATTCAAATGCTCAGCCTCGCCATCGTCAGGTGAAGCTGCCCTGCAATGCACACAGATGCGTGTCCCTCGCACAATGAACGCAGCTGCCATCCCTTGTTCAGCACCATCTCACCGACATCTCTCTTCACGCCGCCTCTGCTTAGGTTCGTCAATGGCTTCTCCGATGAGCAACAGAAGACAATGCTCGCCAAGCCGCTTTCCCTTATCGCCGCCGACCTGAAGATCCCCAGTACGTTGCACGCACGTCGTCTATGGTGTCATATATGCACTGTCATCAATGTAACTGGGACGAACAACATTCCTTCCACTCACGCCATGCACACACACGCACACGCTCACACACACGCACACGCTCACACACATGCACACGCTCACACACACGCACACGCTCACACACATGCACACACACACACACACACACAATGACAGCACACGTTGTGGACACGCGCCACAATGCGACGCATCAAGCGCTACCAGGACTCCCCATGCTGGAAATGTGCACCTTTGAGGCGATGCAGTGGCTGAGAACCTTCTACTGGCAGGAGCAGGTACGTGTGCATGTGCGAAAATGCATCATGTGGCAACTTGATTGCGCGCACGTGTGTGACTGCGGGTTGGGTTAACCAGACACCATGGCTCGTGTACATGCTTGTGCGACGCCAACAGGAAGATGCCAATGCTGCTCAACAGCAGCAAACCACTGCCCGCATCGGACAATACGTCACACAAGCCGTAAGTTTTGCCACGCAACTAACACCCGTACACATGTACACACAACGCGCGCAAACATACGCAATCACACACACACACACATGCGCGCGCACACACACACACATGCGCGCGCACACACACACGCACGCCTCATGCGCACATGTCTCACGCGTGTGCTGACACCCACCCCGTGCCGCCCTTTGCTGCAGGAGGATAATCGCGCGGCGTTGCGTGTGCGGTCTGCATTTGCACAGCGACAGGCAGCGCAGCGAGAGGCACAGCTGAACGCAGCAGCAACTGCATTGGTGGACGATGTGCCCAGGATGTACGTGGTTCCAATCCCCACACCCTTCTCCACTGTCTATTCCTGGTCTCGTTGTGTTCGCACACACCGATCGACACACACACACACACACACACACACACACACACACATTCGCGCGCACACACACACACACACACACAAATTCACACACACACACACACAAATTCACACACACACACACACACAAATTCACACACACACACATTCACACACATGCACGCACACACACCCTGACAATTGGCATGGCCAGGGATTTGCTTGAGAACCTTGCCCACACCTGGCTTTGGACCACCTCGACAGCAACCCGGGATGTACCAAGCAGGCAACAAGCATCCGCAGCCGCAGCATCAACATCATCAACAACAATATCACCGCCTTCAGGCTCCGTTGCAGCCGAGGCGCAGGCATGCTTTACACATTCACGCACAATCTGGGAGCCCGTACTGACGTGCATGTGCAAAAGATACAGACAACGAAGTTTGCTTGGGACACTGCTGATTGCCCAAATTCTTCTACAGACAGGTTGGTCGCGTGGACACGAGTATCTCTCGGTCAACACGTGCACACCATCGTTTGCACTGTCACCTGTGTGTGTGTGTGCTTTTGTGTCGTCTGCTTGCACCTTGCTGAATTGTTAGTTTCCTTCAGTTCTTTGTGCGTCTGGCCTGTCTGTGTATCTAAAACGTCTTGGCATGCAAATACTCACCCAGACACACACTTTCACACACATTCACACATTCACACATTCACACATGCACGCGCGCACATGTTCAGAGAACTTGAACGCCGATACATGTGCGAAGACGGCTGCCCTTCACGACCTGTGGCTCGAACACATCCTCTCTTCTTACTGCAAAGGTGGGGACGCGCGTGCGTATGTGCTCACGGTCGTGTGTGTGTATGTGTGCGCGTTGTGTCCGCTGTGTGCGTTGTGTGTGTGTGTGTGTGTGTGTTTGCCTGCAATTCGCACGAGTGCGAGCGGATGTTGGCTTGTCTTACGTCGAAGTTGTTAAGCAAACACACTGCATGCGCGCTGCGATCGTGTTATCAGGCGTTAGCGCGGAGGTTCTTGGGTACTGGTTTGCACATGTGTCCCATCTCCCCAGCCAGCGACGCCTCATCGCGTTCCAGACAGCACTCCTGCAGTAAGTGCGGTCCGACAGGTGTTTCGGTGTATGTGTGTGTGTGTGTGCGTGTGCGCGCGTGTGTGTGTGCGCGTGTGTGTGCGTGATATTACTCACTTACTCACCTCCCCCCTCACACACACTGACACACTCACTCGTACATAAAACCACACACACACTCTCTCTCACTCTTGCACAAACACAAACACACACGCCAGGCGCTTGGCAGCAAAGGGCAGTGAAAAGGAGCAACATGTGTTCGCGGCCGCACGCCGGGCCCTGATAGAACACTCCTATTCTGACAACAGCGATGGCAGGAGCGGCACCAATGACGTTGGTGGTAGTGCTGCTGCTGGTGATAATGCTGCTGGTGGTCATGATGATGGTGCTGCTGGCAAAGTTGATGATGACAGTGGTGATGGTGATGATAGTGGCGGCAGCTGTTCCTGTGATGACCGAGAACCAGTCAGGAAACGCCCAAAGCGGCAGGAAGGAGATGCGGGGGGCGGGAAGCAGGACGCAAGTGCAGAGAAGAACAAGGACGACGCTAGCTCGCGACACGCATGGACGCTTTGCAGGTGCGCGCTGCGGCAGTCTCGCACTCGACACACAGATGGACATCGAACAGAGAGGTGGTCGAAGCGAGACAGGCAGACCAGCAGATAGTTCGAGAGCGAATGAGAGAGCAGTCACGCTTTCGCATTCTTCCATCTCTCTACCACGCACTCATACACACATACGTTTACACTCTTCGCATGTGGCTTGCTCTACGCTGCTGCAGGCCTGCGTCGTGGTCGCGTGTACCCATTGGACTCTTGCCAGGCTTTGTCTCCCCCATCCTCACGTGCACCATCGCTGACGCCCATGGTGATGATGATAGTGATGGGAGAGACACTACTGGTTCTCGTACCCTGGGTTTCGTGCCATACTCACCCGTCACCGCTCCCGTCTCCGTTGCCATCCCAAGCTTATGATGTCGTGCCATCACAGAAAGCAGCTTGTGACGGTGGTTGTATTTGTATATACACGACCAGAGCTTGAACCAGGCATGTACATTCTGCGCGTGCGTTTGTGTGTGTGTGTGTGTGTGTGTGTGTGTGTGTGTGTGTGTGTGTGTGTGTCTGTCTGTCTGTCTGTCTGTCCGCGCAGAGGGAGGGAGTGAGAGTGAGAGAGCGCGCAAGTGGCACTGTACAGAAACTTCTGATGCGCAGGCAAGTAAGGCATTTCTAGTGACGATAGACACCCAGTCAACAGTCAACACATCCGAGCAAGGCGCGACAAGACTGCATTGTGTAACTGCAACGAGCAAACTATCTGCTGTGGCAATTAAAATCACACGCCATTGCACGCACAAAAACAAACAAACAGCACACACATACACACACACACACACATACACGGCATCCGTGCTTTGTAACGACACCAGCATTAAGCTGCCATCAGTTCACCATTGGAGGCTGAGGGGCGGTGCTTTGAAGGGAATGTTGATTGGATTTGCCGGCAATACCTCAAGCGCTGTCGTCCAGCGTACGTGATCAGGGGTAGCAGAGGACTGCTGCTGGGCTGGCGACGATGATGAAGACGAATGCGATGGTGCTGGTGCTGTGGATGAGGATGACGACGAGGCTGCTGCTGTGGCGGGGCCGGGTGCTTGTGTTGGCTGCACGGATGCAGAGGGCTCGCGCTGGCGATAGGCCAAGTCAACCTCGATCATCCACTCGACAGAAACTGGTGTAGGCGTGCAAAAGGTGAAGTGAGGACATGAGCACACAGGAGGAAGCATGCCATTCAAGGCTGCGCCTCAAAGGCGTCCCGTGTCAATGCACACACACACACACACCCTCTCAGGCGCCGAAGACACACAAATTAGAACAACATGTTGCACGCTGCCAGTTGCGCACCTGTTTGTGTTTCAAAGTTGGTATGAGAGACGAGCGGGATGGGCAGCCCAACAGATTCAAGAAGGGTCACGCTGGTGTGCAGAGTGGTTGACGCGTGTGTGGTGCTGGTGGTGGCGAGTTCGTCCGTGATTCCTGCAAGGCGGTGCGCCGGCCGCACCACTTCCCGGCTCACCAAACGCGCATTCACCTAGGTGAGTGCGTGCATGCGTGTGTGTGAATGTGTGTGAGGAAGTGTGTGTGTGTGTGTGTGTAAGTGTGAGTAAAAGCTGATGACGGAGATATTCGCCGCCATCACCACCATCACTAAGTCCATTCACGGTGCGTTTGCGCATTACGACGCCAACCCACCTGGACAACGGTGACCTCGCTCTCCTCCAATGACACGGTCAGTTCCACTGTTTCACCGAGCCGGTAAGACAGCTTCGACAGCGACACGCCCGCAATCTGTGCTCCTTTGCTGTTGCGCAGCCGAAACACGCCTGGCGATGGTGGTGGTGATGGTGGTGACGTGGAGGTGGAATAAGGCACTGTGTGTAGGTGTGCGTGTGTCAACGACACATGTACTGCGCACACCCACGCACACAAACAGTATGGCGACACTTCATTCCACTCTCCTGCACCTGCACCCTTCCATCGCAGCCCCACCACGCACATGGGGCACGCCTGCGTGTGAGCGAGGCGATGGCGCGGAGAATGTGGTCCCGCGTCTCTGTTGGAACCGAGCGCGGAACAAACGGGCTGAAAGCGGGCGGTGGTGGAGAAGGCCGAGACAGGATATAGGGAAAATACACGAAGGTTGTAAGTGAACAATGGCACACACACATGGACGTGCTCATTCATATGCGCGCGCACACACACACACACATAAACGAGCCCGAACGCACATGTACATACACATACACACGCGCGCGCTGCAACAGTAGCTGACCTGTGCGGCTGTGTGGGGCGGGAACACGACGATGAGGGCGATTCAAGACCGTTGATGGCATCTTCAATTGGAAGAGACGTCGCACTCCCACGCGCGCACTGACGGCGCACTTTTTCTGGCGACACGGGAACAGCAGCGGAAGGCGTGGTCGTGGGGTAGGAGTGTGGAACGCAAGTGTTGGGGGCAGGGCAGCCATGGGGATACGCGTGAGTTGAACACGCGAGAGAGAGGGGGGAGTGAGAGGCAGACAGACAAAGACAGTGACAGACAAAGACAGTGACAGACAAAGACACAGACTCAAAAAAAAAAAGGTGATGGGTCCAACCAACCTGGCACAGCAAGCACTTTGATGGGCAAATGCGCGTAGCGCGTGGGGTGTTCGAACCGTTGCAAGCCGCCAACAACCTGAAGGAGGCAAGCAATTGTGTGCAGGTCATGACCATGCAGAAAAACATGCAAGCTATAGAATGACACGTGCAAGATGGCATGCTTGATCACGTCAACTCAGCTCACCGAGCTTCTTCAACTCACAGAGAGAGAGAGAGAGAGAGACTGAGAGAGAGAGACTGAAACAAGCGCGCGCACTTCGGCACATACGCGATAGATGTAAGAGATGGAATCGCCCTTGTACGTGGGTGGAGCGTGCTGCGCAATCTTGACAGAGACATCGTCTGAAGCCCAGCAGCGCACACATCGTACAAGTGAGCGACATACTTGTCAAAGTGCAACGCACAGAACCCATCTCCAACACACACACACACACACACACACACAGAGTGCGCGAAAGCAAATTTGCATTCTACAATCACAACGTCCGTGCGAACAGCGTCTGACCTTGTCTGGACTCGCCAGGTGCAAGCTGAAGATCACAAAAGAGGATGACAGGCACAGATGCGAATACGACCATGCCCTTGGCCTCTGCCGACAGACCGAAAACATGCACACAAGGCAAGGGAGAGAGGGGGGGGAGACAAGCATGTGAGGGGAAGCCGTAGCGTTCAACTGCACTGACGTGCGCACTGCACAAACACGGACGTGTGCGCAAGGCTCAGGCCTCCAGAAAAGGATACACAGAACAGCACACGACACGACCTCCTCTTCATCAGTTCTCGTCATCAGCAGATGCACAGCCGCACGCACGTACGTGATGCTGGGGTGAAGCTGTAGGATGTAGTTGGTGTCTCTGTCTTGTGCATGTCCACACGGCTTGGATTGCCGGCCATTTGACACACGACTTGGATAATGGCGCATGCAATCGCTTCGGTGCCTTCAACAACGTGTCTGGAGCCGCCACTCCCTGTGGCGGCACCGTGGCCTGTGGCGTGTCCATTGATCATGCCCGCTGACGGCCTTGCGCTCAATGTCCCTCCCGGCGCGGTGCCATTTGCATGGCCCGCTGTTGCAGCGTGGGCATCCCGCTCAAAGTGCACTGGCCGATATCCGCTCACAACGCGCGCGGCATTGCCGCTCTGACTGCTGGTGTCTGAAGCCGCTGTTGGTCCTGATAATGCCGTGGTCGTGTTCGTGACTGAGGATGCTGCTGTGCTCGCCGTGCCATGAAAGCTGCTTGTCTGCTGCCCACCGCTGGCCTGGTGGCCCGTGTCTGCCGTTGCCGTCCCTGCTGCCTTTGTCGTGTTTCGGATGATGCTTCGCAGCCTCACCGTCTCGCCCGTCAACACAACGGGCTCCGCCACCGTCACACTCCACTCCAACATGCTGGTGAGGTGTAGTTGTGAGTGTGACCTGCTGGGTGCTGGGATGTGTGGTGTTGGCTGTTGGTGGTGGTGGTCGAGTTAGTTGAGGTGGTTGTAGAGAAGTTGTGAATGATCATCAGCAAATTTCGACGAAACGGCAAACACAGCAACAACAACGCTTCCACCACACAACAACGGCCACCAGCCAGCCTGCTTGTCGCTCGACTTGACCGTGTGTGTGTGTGTGTGTGTTGTCTCGATCAACACCGCACAGTAGAGCCGGAGACAAGTGCAGAGCGGGCGCAAGGGGAGAGCGAGTGTGTGAGAGTGAGTGAGTGTGTGAGTGAGCTGGTCATGGCTGACCTACCCGACTTGGATCTGCCATCCCTCTCTGATGATGACGACACTGTGCGTGTGTATGTGTGTGTGTGTGTGGCTGTGTGTCTGCGTGTGTGGCTGTGTGTCTGCGTGTGTGTCTGCGTGTGTGTGCGTGTGTCTGCGTGTGTGTCTGCGTGTGTGTGCGTGTGTCTGCGTGTGTGTTTGTGTGTGTCTGTGTGCATTCGTCTATACGTATGCCTATGTGTGTGCGAGATCTTGTTTGGTGTAGATGAATCTGGGACGAATACATACACACGAAACACACAACTTGCCTGCACCCCTCATTGTTGGTGCTCACCAAGCTTGCTACCCCTTTTCACCTCCCTTCCGCTTGCTGCTTGGTTGACAAACCTGCCACTTCTCTCTTCAGGTCTCCACTGCCAGCAGCGCTGCTGACATTGGCATCTTCTCTCGCACCGATGCTTGGACCGTCAGCTTAAACAGCGATGATGAGGCCCACCCGAGCTTGCCCAGCCTGCTTGCTGATGGCGACGACAACGACGATGACCGCAACCTCACTCTCGATGACGATATTGATGATGATGAAGAAGAAGAGCCTTGGGCGCGACTATCCAGACCTCGTGCTGCGAACATGGACGTTCAAGTCCAGGTGCAACACCACACGGTCAGTACTGCAGCAGAGACAACCGCGGTGACCGAGCTTCGGGCGGCGGCGCTCACCAACGCAGTACCAGCGCCACCGTCTCAGCAGGCGCCGAGTCACCAAGCTCACCCATCCAGCCGTGAACTCCTTGGTACCCATGGCCAAACAAAGCTGCAGGAGGAGAAGGTGGCCGCCGAAACGCCAGCAACACCCTCCACACCGACTTCGTGGCAAGAACACCAGCAACCGGGCCACCGTCGCCCATCGCTCCTGCTGTCACCTGGCAAATCAGCCACAGATATGGCGCTGGAGGCTTTTCTTCGCAGCAGTGAACCCAGGACCACCACTTCCCCGCCGCTACCCAGCCTCGACACCACCACTACCCAGCACAACACGCAGTCTCCCGGCCAGAGCCACCCGCACGCTGCGGCAGACACGCCCGTGCCGACACAGGCGCTGTTTGCAGTCCACCTCGAAATGCCCAAGGAGCTCGACAGCATCCTGCCCCATGGGGCTGACGAAGTGCAACAACGGCTGCAGGACACCCGGTCTGTGCCTACAAGCACAACAGCTGCTGCCCACAGGAGCACACGTGCTTCCACTGCCAGCACCTCATCAGCACGCCCCGGCCACCGTCGACCTGAAAAGAGGCGGGTGCGATTTGAGGGT